AGTACACATGTCCCTTGGTTGAAAACCAGATGTCGCGCTTACACCAGAGATGGTGTAAGTCAGCGAAAGCAGCTCGAGCTTTTGGGATCCGTGCTGAGGTTTCGTCGCCAATCAGTCCATTGGTGCTGATACAACTTCCCGAATAGGTGAAGTGGTCAACATGTTCTGTCACTACTTCACTCCCTATCACTAAGCTAGGAGTTGACGTAGTCAGCATCCCCTAACAGGAATATATCATCTGCATATTCTAAGTTCATAAGACTATTCCCTGGTAACAAGTCGATTCCTAAGTCGTTACGTTCAGTTAAGGATACTTCCATCAGCAAATCTATGATGAAGTTAAACAGGAATGGGGAAAGTGGACATCCCTGTCGGACGCCACTGGTTGTTATCAATTCAGATGACATTTCCCCATAAGTCCTTACACGACTACGTGAGTTTGAATAGAGTGCCTTGATTAGTGCAATGTACTTTCTTGGCACTCCCTTCACAGTCAAACATTGCCATAGTACCTTTCGAACCACGGACTGGAAGGCCGCCTTCAAGTCAATAAATATGGCAATTGTTGGACGCCAAAAAGTGTGTCTGTGGTCTAGAATCTGTCGGAGGGTGAAGATATGATCTATTCACCCTCTACCTGGTCTAAAGCCTGCTTGATTTTTCCTCGTTTGTTCCTCCCGAGTTCTGCTTAGTCTATGCATGATTACTGAGCCTAGGATTTTAGAAACTATGTTCGTTAGGCTGATCCCCCTATGATTATCACACGAGGACTTGTTTCCCTTCTTGAATATCAGTATAACAAGTGACTTACCCCAGTCTGATGGAACCGTCTCTGATTCCCAGACGTTGCCTAGTACCTTAGTTAATCTACAAACTAGTATGTCACCCCCATATTTAAACACCTCCGGAATAATTCCGTCGGGTCCTGCCGCTTTGCCTCGTTTCAAATTACAGATAGCTTTTGTGACCTCACTTACAGACGGCGGACCAGTGTCTATATCCCATTCGGGTGTGTACTGGATGGCGTGGAGGTTCAGTGTGCCTGTAGGCAAGTTAAATTGTTCCTCAAGGTGTTCTTACCAGCCTTCAAGGCGTCTATCCTGAGAGTTAATTATGGTGCCATTTTTCTCCAAGATTGTTTCACTTATGATTTGCCTTCTCCCACCCACTTCCCTGATGAATCTAAAGAGTTGCCTAGTGTTGCCTATCGCCGATGCTTTTTCCATCTCTTTTGCCTTTGTCACCCACCACTGTTCACGGCCCTTGCGTAGACTTTTCGTAAGTTTCCTTTTGTGCAGCTTTCGCTCCTCATTGAATTCAGAGCTCGCCGGAATAAGTCTTCTAGCATCTATCAGTTCGGATGAGGTAGTAGAAACCCACTGGTTCTTACTAACTTTCGGTTTTGTGCTATTAACAGACCTTACGGCTGTGTCTACAGCTAACTGTATGTTATGACAGGCTTTCTCAAGAGGAGTCTTGCGGTCGACCTCAGACACTCGTTACGCTATTTCTTCCTTAAATAGGAACTCAGCATCCTGATAAAAGTTGGGAGTGCAACTTCTTCGTCGCTAAAATTTTTATGCTCGTTCAATCAGGGCGTGATCGGAGTCTATGCACGTGTTTCAGAAAGAGCAGCAGTCTTATACTGACCCTCACCAAAGATACCCTATCGTTATGTGGCATATTTGAGTCTAGCGTTGATTTGGTGATGGAGGTCGTCAGATTACACAGTGTCTCTCTTTGTGCCTAAAGTGAGTATTGACTAGGAACAGGCGATTATCTGAACAGAACTGAAGAAGACGGTCACAGTTGTTGATTCGTCGGCAGGACACTGTGGACGTACCACCTATATACTCAGTCTGGTATAACTTCCCTGCCTGGACATTGAAGTAGCCTGCTAAAACAACTTTATCTGAGCGTTTTTCCTTTTGCAGCAAACTAGACAGTTCCTGGTGGGAATCGTCCTTTAGTTCATCCGAACTGCAGTCTCTTGGGACGTAAGCAGACTTTGAAAAGACAACGAAGGGTAACGCCGTCCGTCCTTTTTCTGACAGACCAGTTCAGACGGGCTACACACATACGACTATCTACTGGGATCCAATCAAGAAGTGATTTTCCGCCCTAACACCCAATACTATCCCTACACCTGCGAGTTCTCGAGAACTCTGTGAGGAGTCTCCTGACACCCTCAAGGTGAAGTTGTTGGTGAAGTTAAGTGAATAACCACACTCGGGTTTTGTGTGTGTGTCTCCGAAACACAACATAAATCCATGCCTAGAGATGCCAGAGTTCTTGCTAGTGATGCCCGTTGTCCGATTTAGCAGAGGGTCCTGACGTTAAATGTTCCAATATGATGTTGGCGGCGTGGCTTTAAGAGGATACCTGGGGGAGGGGGTTTTCTGGCTTTCATCGTTATTTATGGTCACAGTGAACTGAAGAGGACTGACTAGACTGCAGAATAGTAGACAGTGGTTGGGAGGTAAGACGATGAGGGTGACAGGAATAAAGGAGAATGACAATCAGGAAGGCTTCGTGGGTCTTTTAAAGTGTGTGGACGGTTGTTACTTCTCGGCTGTTCACACCGTGAAAGTTGATTTATTCTTGGGGTACCTGAAACAGAAAGAGAATTAGTGTCACGTGATCACAGGGCCCAGGGGACAACTGCTTGAGGCCAGGTACACACGGCCTGTATGAACTGGCTTTTTGATTTTGTCCCGTATAAGTAACTTACCGCCGGTTGCTGACCACCTTAGGGTAAGTCGAGATGTACATTGGGGGGTCTACCTTTTGTAACCTCCTCCATAGTGGAGAGACACCATAGCTGGCATCAGGTCATCTGAGGGAAACACCTTACTGCTGTTACATCCTGTACCCCAGCAGTACGACTTCGCCCACAGACATCCCCAGAGGATAGTAAAAAATCTTACACTATGCCGGTAACTGCTGTTAGTCTGATCGCTATCCTGGTATGGTAGGGCCTACAGGAAAATTAGTTCCATCCGGTATAGCTTGTTGGGTCATTGCGATATGCAAGCCCGACCACCACGTTAAGGTAGCAGCCTATCGGTCGGGACAATTACTTGCACATATGCAATGACTAAGGTAAGGGTAAATAAGAGTTTCAGTCATAGGACTAATCAAAGAAATCCAAATTAGAATTACTGAGATACTTAAAATGATGGATAAGAACCTACGTCGATTTCACTGAAACGGATACACTCATTTCAGCTTGTTTCCTCAACACAACTGAACTTCATATCTGTATGATTACGTCTACTGTTCCTTATCCAGTTGATGGTCGCATTCTCCCATTTGTTGATTTCCCCTTCTCTTTGGAATGATGGGAACAGTGAAGTAATATGCAAAATATTACTTCTTAATCTAATCTTAATCTTTATCTACCTAAGTGGGAATATCAAAGTACTACGCTCTTTATTGTGTATTGCATAAAGATTTTACACATCAAAACACTTATAGAGTACAGTTGTTCCTACAAGATTCTAGTTCTCATTCATTTGTAAATCCAGCAGCAGTCAAAAATATGATGTAAACACCTCATTAACTTAAAAATGTAGAAGTCTGCTCAGAAGTGCAGCGGTTTAAGCTGTCACACTGCAAAACTCAAGTACAAAGCCAATAATCGATATTGACTGAAGAATATTAGAAAACATTTGGCATTTTATATATTGTAGTACGGGGGCGATTTTAGTGGCATAACCATAACGACTAACACTAAAAACTTTCAAAAAAGAAAATAGCAAAATAATCATAAAGACCACTAACTTTGATGATTTTACAATTCGAAACTATGAAACTACCTAAGTGGTGACCTACTCAAATTATAACCTGTGCCCAATTCAGTGTAATGTATTGACGTCAGTTGGGAATAATTACACTGGTAAGTTATAAAGCCTTTAATCGGTGGGAGAAGCCTTGCGGTGTAGGCTAGGTAGCAGCTAAATATAGTCCATAAAACAAACCAATTCTATAGTTGGAAAGTGGTTGTTGGGTTTGCGTGGATCTGACTGGAGTCAATGCAACTTGATATGATTTTGAGCAATAGTTTGTGCTCGAAACGTCATCAGTTAATATAACTGTACAACACTGTGTGATTTATCAAAATAAAATCTTATCCATAATGGAGTCAATGCAGATTTCATCAAAAACAAAATTATAGTCGTAAATATTAGGAAAAACACTCTATAGCCTAGAGAAGCACTTATTTTTTCAATTTTCTTAGATTGTCAGTGTGTCATTATGTGCCTTATGCTGCTGACAAGATTTATCAGTAGTATACAAAGAGATATTCATCGGCATAAACAAACATCAAATAGAAGGGAGATAAACCTGATGATAATACGTTACACAAATACACAGACGTGAAAGGAACACAAAGAAACACAATATGGGGGCCGGAAGTAGCACAACACGGAAGATCTGTGCAAATGGTGCGTTGAAGATAGGGTGTACATAATTTGGCTATGTAGAGATAACAAATTGCAAACAAACATTCTTTTACAAAATCTTTATTTTCCTACCATTACAGTTAAACTACATGTTTTATTATTCGCCTTATTTTATTCCTGCTTCCTTACAATGATTCATCACTACTCGTAACAGAACTTTCGTTAATGAATTTATTTCCCAACTTTCCTTCATGTTACTGCTGATAAGGAGAAATTTTGTGGCATAAGCCTAAGCTGTTGGTTTCTCAATATATTTGTAAGAATTATAACTAGATATAATGTGGCAATCAATTATTCTTGTTGTATCGTAATCACTGTTCTAAGACAGCATGAAGTGCAATTTGGATGTGAGTACCTTAACAAACTTCTAACAGGGTTCACACACACTTATTTCTACGGAATGTGGAATTTGAAAAAAAACACAACAGTAAGAACACTGTTATGTACTGGTTGTAAATATTTTAAAAGTATAGTCACTTTTTAATTCATCACGACTACAATTTATTTTGCCAAAAACACTATTCAAAAGCTCACCTCAATGGAACGCATCTGATCTTCCTGATTTAGAACTCTTCCTAATTCTTGAATTTCAGCATCCTGTGATGAGAACGCTTGTAGTTGGCTGATTTTGGCTTCATCACTTTCATCCGGGTTCAAATTGATTAAATCACCAACGAGTGAAGGTGGCCGACTTTCAGTAAGTAGTCGTCTTTGTATTTCCTAAGCAGGAAAATAAAGAAACATAAGTTTGTGCTCCAAACTATACTAAAATAAGTTAGGAAGTGCCGTCTCCCTATATATAACATAAGTTTAGATAGTGATAATTTGGACTAGCTAGCAGTCAAATAAGAAACTGTACTATTTTTTCAATTATATTACACAAACTTATCTCTGATGTAATAAACTCTTCAATAACATAAATTTTCTTTATACCATCGTCACCACACTACCTACTCGACTATTGGAAATAAGATTACTTAATAAATCACTTATTTCTACACTACGAATAGCGATAAACAAAATAATTGACAGTGCTTTATGAGGACATATTTAGTGCATTTATGTAAATGTATAAGTTATACTGAAAAAGTAGTTGAGCATTTTACTACATATGGTTACAATACATAACATAACAACATTAGCAAAATAGTTAAAAAGTAAAACCTAAGTACTTTACCATGGCATATCTTCATGTCTCTTTGAGTATATACCTGTAAGATAGCTTTTCATCGCTCATCTCTACACCTGACTAAGGAAAATTATCAAAATGTTCTTTTAAGATAACCACAAAATATGTGGTTGGACTAAAAGTTTCAAACACTGTAAGAGAAAAAATATACCTCAACGACATGTCTAAATGAGTGACACAGCTCCATTTAAACAGGTAGAGGGTGATTTTGACTTCTACTGCTTTGCCTGCAGTAACGAGCCAGAAGTAAGACTAAAGCCAATTTTAAACTATATACAAGCCACCACTTGAGAACGCAAATAATCTTGAAACAAATAGAGCATGGAACACAAAATATCTGACTTAGTTGTAGCACACCTGGGCTAAAACACACAGAGTGACGTAGAATTTGTTAGGAGTAAAATAATACAGCTCCACATTTACATACAGATTCTGGAGTATAAGCGTACTTGTCGGCATTCAACACGCTATATTTCTGGACCTGAAGACGGCATTTCGCTTCATCGACAGGGGTTAACTGTGGCCAATTCTAGCCCTGAACGGAATGTCGAGAAAAAACACCATACTATACAGGGAACACTACCGGGACTCAAGCAGCTGTATAAGAACTTATGCAGGGTTGTCACCTGAAGTGATGACAATCAGTGGTATCCTTCAAGGATACCAAATTTTTCTATCTTTATTCAATTTTATCAAAATGTACTGATGGTTGTAACCCTTATCGACTTCGGCAACTTGTTATCTGAGAAGTTTGGTCGACTTAGTGTGTGGGTGATGTAGGCCATCTTATTCACTCACTAGGTAACTCCATCACTTTTATTCAACTTATCGAATGTATTGATTAATGCTAGTAACTATGCTTATGACAATGCACACCTTTCATTACCATCTTTCGTGAAAAAGTTTTATATAAATGTAATTGTACAGCTAAAAGAAATGAGATAACCAAAAAGAGTATATTCCCTGAGCTACTTTTTTGTCTTCATAAGTGCTTGGATGGGGATCATCTATGAATCGTTGATCTAGGTGATGATAGCGAAATGAGAAGTCTTCCGTATACACTGATCAAAAGTAATATCTTTCGCATTTGATTCGTGTTTATCATGATACTGAAGGATTGATCTACACCGACTCCTAGTTAAAGGATAGGTAGTGAAATGTCTGACCATACTGACCACTTCACTTATTTGGAAAGTTGAATCAGCCCTAATGCACTGATTCCTGACGAAATCTCAGCACGAATGCCAAAAGCACGTAGGGTATTCGACAACTTACGTCATCTCTGGTGCAGACGTGATATCTAGCCATCGGCCAAAGGACGCAAGTAGTCGACAACATTTCACTTTGTCCTTTTTATGGTAATGAGAAATGTATATTGAAGGTGGGACATATGGAGGTAAGCTGTCTTGGACCATAGGTTTTGGCATCCTATCCGTGTTAAATGGTTTGATATGGTGAGTTATATTGAGACTAGGCTTAGACTGTTAGGCAAGAAGGAGAATTTAGTCTATGAAGTCCTGCAGCTGCATCGATCGAGATAGCTAGGACCTACGATACACATGCCCAACCACCGCCTTCCTAGACGAGTAACGTTAGCCGACACAGAATCAGATTGGAAAAGTTAGGGATGGCTAAACCAAAACCTGACGTCAGTTCGTGAAGTCTTTGACAGTTGCTTTTACCTATATAGGGAGGTGCAGATTGCCTGGTTGGAGTTCTCGAGTTGCTGAAGCCCCCCGGCTAGAAACTGTTAGTGAGATGGCTCGAAACCGTTCTCAATGGCACAAATGTATTCACTCTTAGTGAACTGCCACATTATTTCCCACATGATTATTCTTTCTTTCATATATTTCTGCTCATTATGATTTTTTTTTACAGGTAGGTATCATCTGTAAAATGTTGCAACTAGAACACTAGCTACACGTAAGTGCGATGTCCTGAATGAAAACGGTTTCAGTTCAATTTTCCCCGATGCTATGAATTACACTAACTGCCATAGCTGTGCCTGCTAGCATATGGGCATGAAAAACTGAACTTTGAACCCTTGAACTAAAGACTACGGCTTAGCACCACACCATCCTATAACATCAATGCTTTGCTTCTACTATGTCTATTCAAAGTTTGATATATGACGTACCTTACAGAATCTGTGCAACAGAGACTATCAGTTTTTTGAAAGAAAACCGCCTACGTATACCTATAACAAAAATTGATCCTACTCACGATATGCATTTCTAATGCAAAAACCAGACCTTAACTACGAGGAGTGGCACTCCTTCTAATTCATTCTCATAACCCGATGAGGATACAAAAGAGGAAAAACATAGTCAATCACTGGTAGTTACAAACCGCATTCACTATACATATCTAGTTTAGTGGTCCTACTAGGTAATACGGCTTGAGGTCAAATGTAAGTCAAACCAACAAATTCCGAGCGATTAAAAGACAAGGATAAATCCACGAAGAATGCACTTTCAGCCTGATCTAATTATGATTGCTGAAGTGCGTAGATGCTTTGGAAAGTAACCTAGTTTTTATCACTCATAGATAAGGTTAACATGGACGATCAAGACTGTTGCTTCGCACACACATAGACATACAACGAAATAATTTATTTCACTTTCCTTCGCTTGTTGAAATTTTTTTATTCGCGTTTTACTTAATATAGATTGAAAGAGATCAGAACAATCACTGACAAAAATAATGTAACAGTTGTCAATATAGGAATCAGTTGCTAGGCCTTTCAGGAGGCGTACTCAATATTGGTAATAAAAGCCTTATTTTCATGGAACGCAATAATGTTGTTTAGTGAGGTTATGTCCCAGCTTATGTGGAACTTCACGTGGTCATAAACATCTGTTTACGACAAATCAGATCATAGCGCCATAGGTTAAATTTTTAAAAAGTGACTCAACTCCGATTCGCATTCTTAACCTAACTCTTGACTAAGAAGAATGATGGCTTTAAAATGCTCTTCTCAATTAGTTGCTGAGTCATTGCTTAAGTTCAATGACTTTCCTTTAGTTTAGACTCCAGCTTTGCCTGCTACTTGACAATTATGAAGATGCTTCCAGAATGTCATCAAGAATGATAGCAACGGTGGCTAGATATTATTAATAAAAAAATGAATCTTACAGCTTGTGTCCTTTGAAACCGGTGAAGCACCCGCTGAAAGTCAACTCTGAGTTTCTCTACATGAATCTTGGTTATCTAAAACCACTTAGAATCATTTAAACAGTAATACCTGATCCGATAACGGCTCTTTAGAAAGATTTATAAAAAGATTTTTAGTTTCATCAACCAGTCCCAGGGCATCTTTTTCACGCTTGTTTCTAACAATAAATCTATGTATATGCCGTCACAGAAAACTTACAAGAGATCCGATTTAGCTTTAGAATTTCCAGTTATGCTAATGCTTTTATTCAGTGTTTCCAATTCATTCGCTATTTTAACAATTAAAGCCTTGTGAGAGAACATACCAAGTAAACGTATCTTAAGAATCTTGGAAGATATATCCTCGAAAACCTGGATGACAGCGGTAACCTCTACAAAGTTAAATGGGTATTAAATTATGAAAGTACGTGAAGGTGTTGCTGCAGTGCTTCCATAATTACTGTACATAGTTATTCACCTCACACCGGGTGAATAAGGAAATACCGCTACCTAAAGTAACCAGCTGGATTAACGACCTTGAAAAAAACTTCCCACCTCTGTTAGCCTTGAAACTTCGTGATGCAATGTAGCATTCGGTGCTTCTTAACTGTAGGTTAGCATTTACAGAAAAAGGATCTTCTGCATTAATTTCGACCTGTAGGCATTCACTTTCGGTGCTAACTTTGCAAACCCCTAGAAAACTGTCTGTGTGGTGTCTGCTGCAGTACGACTGAGTTCCCTGAGTTCCTAATCAAAGAAGTCAGTGATATGCTTGGTGGGGCATTTAAGCTAGTGCACAGCGAAAATCTTTTACCACATAAGAGCAACTGTTTCTCAGACATCAATGACTCGGCTGGCGTCACTGGCAAGACACTAAGCATGCTCTATGCGCCATTGTCAAAGAGAGGTCTTCTCGTCACAGGGTAATATCAGTCATAGGTCGGACACTCATTTCATCCCCATTATACGCAATAAGCCTGTCAGCACACATGACGAAAAGGCGACAGCAGACTAACAAAAGTTCGCCTAATCATGGCCAAAGGAAAAGGAGTAGTAGAGTTCAGAATCGCCCAGTTGAAGCGGCCCTTGAATTTTTGGACCCGGCTTTATTCATACTTGTGGATATTAGGTATTCATGACCAGCGGCAGATGGCGAAGAGAACAATGAATAGAATAATTTATTCATTCGCAGAATGCGAGACATAGCCACTATAAAAAAGACGGATCGAAAAAGCTACCCCAAGCAAAAGTGACCACTTACAGGTTACTCATTCTCCACAAAGTAGAAGCATCAACGGCTTCAGACCCCAAGAGAAAGTTTGAACATGATCCCAACCTAGTCAAGCCGATCTTAGACAAGTTACTTACAGACAAAAAAGCTGACTTCACAACTAACCAGCCACTACGTCTTCTCAAAGTCTTGCTGGACTCAAAAACTGAGGTGGATGGTATGTTAATTAATTTTTGGATCAGGCATTTACGTCCCTCCTGACTTATGCCTAGAAGACTGCATCAAAGACAATCCGCAGCTCTACAGTCTACTACAATCTACTAGATGAGGATTATAACGTCATCCTCAGACAACTTCCGAAGCTGTTGGAATCCACTATTCGCTAGCCTTAGCCCAACATAGCATGACGTACAGGACTACTTCCCAACCTTGGACATGTTTTCCACCATGGTGACGAAGTAGGCCTAATACAAAATCTTCCTCCCTTGAGAAAAAATTATCACGCCGAAACCCCAACCCAACCAGACGTTTAGAAAGTAGACATAAATTCCATCGCCTCAAAGGTAAAATCGCCGAAATGGCACATAAGTCCACATTTTCACCTAGAAGTTATATGAAACAAATTTAGGTTAATTTTCGCCCCAGTAATACAACCCTACATAACTCGTTCTGTCCCAAAGGATCAAAAACACTGTCACGCGCAAACAAGCAGAGTGGCTCGTAGCGCACCCAAGCGTAGAGATAAATACTGCAGCCTGTTTATCACACATGAGAGTTCTGAGACAATGAAATTATACAGCTGCCTCTAAGAAAAAAATTGCTGCAGCCAGAAGGCAACTCTCAGAATACTATTTCACATATGCAATAACCAACTTGATTTCAATATAAGCGGTATTAAAAGACAGACAGTAAGTCGAAGGTTTATTGATCCACCAAATATAAACCAGTATGGCAAGTCAATTACACAGCAGCTTGACCGTATGATTCACAGCTGGTTACCATCAACACACTAAAAAGTTCTACACATAACGTCACCATGATACACACTGATTCTTCTGAGTGTATTGCTCAGGCGTTCTATCAACGAGCAAACGTGGAAGTCACGACGGGAATCACTGCCCCCAACGAACAAGAAACCGCTTCGAATAAACAAGTTCATCGAAAGTTCATTAGTGTTTACCATTGCTGACGTCGTCTTTTCAACATATTGATGCTTATGCCAATTTTGCTCATATATTCATCACGACACTTAAAGTGCACTGCATATTCACGACCATATGATTGAATTTTCATTGTTTCTTCTATCTTTGTGTGTCAGAGTAGGAGATAACCTTGACCTCCTAAACCAAAACACCGATTGGCGACTCGAGAATTCTTTATTCTAACACCAACATATGAGCAGCATAATAACTAAGGTCTGTGAACAAATATTACAATAATGAATCACAATATTACTTCTGACAGTTTTGGCCTGACTTCTTTCTGAACAGCGACCGATGAGACGATGACTGGTGTATTGATGCCTCCGCGAAAATATAGGGAAGTTGGGTTTGAGCAAACAACCATGAATTGATCGTTCAATCTTCAACTACATTGACACTCCCCGCCAAAATACGGATCCAACCCCTTTTTTCCATCACGACCAATACACGTTGACTTGGATGCCATTGCGAGAACCTGGGTCACACGGACACAGCTGAAATGGAAAACAAACAGAAAAGCCAACACACCACAAGCATACCCAGAGCACAATCTCACACATCAATGACGACCTGCGCCTTCCAGTTAAAGGCATCCTCTTGACATCTTGTAACACAATCGCCACTTGCTAGAATGACTCTTGCAGAATACAACGTCACTATGAAAATACCTCACGATACTCTACGCACATCCTCTTATCTACTCACTACCAATTACCACTGAAATCGCTTGTCACTCATTCTGCCTCAGTTCTAGTAACGGCGACGTATACGAGCCTCAGTCGTTTACACTCTTTCTCCCCGGCGTGTGGGACCACAGCTAACAATTATCTCCGTATGCATTTCATTCTCAGCAATAGCCTCCCCGGCATATACGACCCATCTGCTGTCCTTAACATCAATCAATTCATTCACGGATGGAGAAGACAAGAAACAACTTCAGAAGTGAGCATGACGAAAATTTAAAACAAATTGTGCAATAACAACAAGATACGAAAACAACAATTAAACGCAGTGAATCCAAAAAACACCAAGTGATATGACACACCAGATGTATATAAAAACAGTACACATAACCTCATAGATCATGTCTTGATGGAATTCCTTCAAAGAATCGCAGCACTTACACCAAAATGCCTGCAACCCTTCTCATGTTGGCGATTATAAGCTGAAGAATGGCTGAAATTATCCGTCACTTATCAAGGTCATTGGTGGAGTGAGACGCTCGAAGGTCATTTTCGTCCATTTTAGTCGGCCATGTTGGATCGCGGTTCCGTAACTGTTCGTTGACGCGTTTGTTGTTCCGTTTATCCTGCCGTTATACACGACTTATCTTGTTGCGTATCGTTCACAAATGTTGCGTTTCACCTCATTTTTTGTTTCCGTTGCTGTTAAAATGAATTATTTCTTTGGTTTCGAAAGTTTTCACTACCAGGCCAGTGCATTCATTTCGGTGTAAGTGTTTTCATACCTTGCATTCATGCGGCTTTCAGTGTTTTAGTTGGTTTTCAGCTGTTAGTGGGTGACTCTAAAGAATAGCGGCCCAAACCGAAACGACCTTTTAACGCAAAAATGACCTTGACAGGGACAACTTCGGCCAATGAGAAGGCTCAAAAAGAAAGGCGCATAATTGTAAAAAACGGTTTATATATAAGTAATGCAATCATAATAAACAGTTACAAAGGATGGCGCTCGCGTATATGTCTCAAAAAAACCTCCCAGTTTCTCATAGGAGTCTTCATAGTCGTATGAAACCAGTTTCGGTACAAAAAATTATCCAGGTAACTGTAAATCATGGGATTTCTCGATCCATTAACCGCTCTTATACGTCTTTTTAGACGACTCCTAAAACTTTCAATGGAACTGGTGTGGGTTCCATCTAAAGGATTCCGGAAACCGTCCGTATGATTAACAACATGATGAATGTACCCATGATTCGATAATTGACGGTATCCGCTCCATTCATCTGTATGAATAGTCGTCCCCGGCAACACCGAACGCTTAATAATAGGCACTAATACTGCTGCACTGCGACTGGGAATCGCTTCTATATACCCTTTGCGCAGTGTCGTGTCGTAGATACCCAGTATCCACTACTGGTTTGCTTGTAATCTCCCACGGTTGTATTTCCTTTTTATAAGTACAGTCTCATCGATATGGACTATGCTGCCGACTCCTCCGAGAACTTGAGTCAGGGTGTTCATTTTCCAGGAGGAAACATCTCTGCAGTAGTTGTACCATTGCACTGCTGACACCTCTGAATTTTCTGTTTCATAAGCTGTAGCTGTGACTGCTCTTTTCAGGACCCAGAAGTTACAGATCATTAAAATTTTCGTCATAGGTAGTTTAGACCTTGAGAGAAAAGTTCCTAAGGGATCTGTAAACTAAAGAACAACGACAAACCTTCTCGAACCGATTTCTTCCTTTGGCACTCAATACATCTGTATACAAAGCCATCAATGGCTTCTGTCTATTTTTCTATATGCATAACTCCTCCGCATTGGCAAATTTTCGACAAAGCTATCAGTCCGTTATCCAAAAAGTAATCGAAAACATCCATGATTACATCCGAAAATGATACAGTCAGCTGATTCCTTCCTCAAGGTCACTTTTTTGTTCGAAGGTCGTTTCGGTTTGGGCCGCTATTCTTTAGAGTCACCCTGTTAATGAATTAGTACTGTGTAGAGGGTTTTGAAATTGTGCACATGAAGATGTTTGGCTGTCAGAAGCAGTTGTTTCCAGTCCATTAGTTGGTTGCCGTTACTATTGTTGGCTCAGTTACTTGCATAACATGTAGAAATCTGGAAAAAGAGTGTCTTTTTCGTTCATGTTTGCAGCATACAACAATCTGCGAGTGAATCTGTTGAAGAGAGCACCATCAGAGTTGGTATTAGCAAGGTTTTCGAAGAACAAATTAAACCCAGAGAATTTAGAACCTGGGTTGAAGTTGAAAAAGCTTTGAAGCTTTTTGAGAATGTGAATATACCATCCGTGTGTCTGCTATCATTTAAAAAAATATATTGTGAGAGAATCTAAGC